TTTGATGCTATCCTTCAACCCATATCAAAATTGATTGATAAGTGCTTTGTCATTCTAGTCCACATTGCAAACAATGTTTTGGATTTCAATAGTATATATAGTGGCTGACTGTGATCCTTGTCATAAAGATAAGAGCTTGGTCTTTATTACTCTTTTTCGATTACTTTCTCTAAATGTAGCCGTAAACACTTCTAGGAATGATTTCAAATCATAAAAGAGCCATGAATCTTTTTCTATTAAAGGTGCAAACCAAGAAAGAGCACTTCATGATAGAAGTGTGCTTATGAATCCGACTTGAGTAAATCCATCGAGGTATCAAGAAAGATTCACTCTTGCCTCCATATATACCTTTAACTAAGAGTTATATGGCGATGTCCTGTAGGACCTCTAAAACATGTTGACTTTGCTAGCCACATGTCTTAACTTGCAAGGCAAGTTATCTATGTATGTACCACATGATTAGCTTGTTCCACAAGCTACCAACATGTGGTTAACTTATTGGCCATGTTTCCAACCTACAAACACATCTAAAGTCAAAACCACATCTATGAAGCTTCTAAGAAGGTTCACTAAAAGACTTTATGAAATTAATCTATATTTACTTACTTCTACCTAATCATATAAGTAATTATTGAAGTAAATATATATATGTCTGTGACAATAATACATATATAACAAAGATTACAAGAAAATATAATATTGATTTTTAGACTAGATACTCTTTAAATTCTTTTAAAAATGCATTATAAGCATACAAAGCTATTCTATTTTTTAAAAAATACTTACAATAGAAAATCATATGTAACAATCCAATTTTCTTTAAGGCTTCTATCTCTCACAACAAAATAATAACTTTGATTATGAATTGAGCACCAGAAAAGTGAGCATTGGAAAGTGAGCAGGCCAGAAAATGGCTGTTGAGGTTAGAGATGCACATGAAACGATGGCAGGAGAGCCTTAGGGAGTAGAGAAGAAAGAAGAAAATGGCTGTTGAGGTCAGAGATGCACATGAAACGATGGCAGGAGAGCCTTAGGGAGTAGAGAGGAAAGAAGGGGAGGAGAACACCAAACCTCCCACGAGGCTGATTGTACTCGTCTAAGAACAAAAAACGATGAGTGGATGTATACTCTCTCAGCAAGCAAGCAAGCAGCGAGTGAGCAAAACGACTGACTGACTGGATGGGTCACTAGACCAGACCGTTCGAAGCACGAAATAAGACAATGGAGAACCGCTCGAATAATGAGAGTCGTTTAGGATGATTCCGTTGCCGGGATTCGAACCCGGGTCGCTCGGGTAAGAGCCGAGTATCCTAACCGTCTAGACTACAACGGATGACATATGTCGCTCCCATACACTAGTTTTAATATATAATTTATTAATCTCCTGCACGGTTCTAACTCGCGAAGTCCTCTCACACAGTCGTGGCTTCCAAACCCGTGCTTGCCTCCAAGCAGTAGGCCTTACTCCTGAGCTTGCGGCTACGTCCAAAATCTTCTGTACTTTGCTTCTTTGTCCCTAAACACGACACCCTTCTGAAGAACACCCCTCCGTATGCATCCCACCAGCCATTCAACTCCCATCGCTCTCATGTACTGGACCTCTCACTCTCATCCCCATTGCACTGCTCCTAGGTTGGTTGCATGAAACAAACCACTGCCGCCTCATACTGCCCGCATGGACTTCAAAACCGATCACGGACCCCAGCAACCATGTCCTTCCTTACCTCACTTGAAAATCGCAACATCCAGAAAGTCGCCGGTCTGCACACCACCAACGGCCCCACCCGATCAGCCCCCTGCAACCTCTTCTCCGACCCACTTCAATCCCTCCCCAAACTCCACACTCCGTCACTTCCGCATCAATCTCAAAGGCAAGATGCTCGAAAATCCTCACCTCTTTTTGCAGATGGGGTGGAGTGCGTCGTGCCCACTTACCATTCCACACTTTCCCAACTGTCAGAACGACGCACCAACATGTATCCATGCAGTCACCGCACACGGTCACAGCGTCGCAACGCTGTCTCAATAAGTAGATCACACTGTACAGGAAGTTTTTTGCATGAGCTTAGATTTACACCTTAATATGGATGTTCAAGATATTATTGGTGCTGCTGAGACAGGATCAAGAAAAACTGTTGTAGTCGGCCTTCCAATGCTACGATGGCTTCTGGATGAGCATGAAAAGATTCAAAGGAAATCAGGTTTTGACAAGGCCAGCAAGAAACAATCTGGAGGTCCCTTGCGTGTTCTTATCGTTATTCCTACGAAAGAACTTTTACTATTTCCAAGGTTTCTGAAAGCAAATGTTTTCGAAATAGAAGCCGACGATGTTCAGCTAGATTTGTTGGGTTGGATTTTTGAACTGCTGCTGGTATCAGCTGACAATTTCATTATATCTTTCGATCTAAAAGTTCATTAATCTCAAAAATGATATTGGAGAGTAAAAAATCATTTATCAATTAATGTAAATACTGGCGCTCGCGCTCGTAAGTAGATCACTCAGTACAGGAAGTTTTGCCTTTGACTGCAGCTTCAAGTATGTGTGTGTGTCTCCGTGTCTGCCTATGCGTAGATTCACAACATCAAGAATGTGGTACTAGGGCCTTTACAAAAACACTGTGGAAGGTATGATCTACATGTTGCATTGCTTGCAGTTGGCTTCAACGCAACGGCTATCCCTCCATCATTGCAGCTTCACCACACCATGTGGTAAAACACACAAGTTTATATCAACCCTCTCTCTTTGCAATGCAACTGTGAAACCTTTGAGTGGGAATGGGAAGGGTTGGGATGAAAGCTATGAATAGAGGAAGATGGGATTGGGAGGAAGATGGGATTGGGAACTAGGGGTGTTGGGATGAAGGCCATAATTGTAATGATGATTTTTGATGATGGTTATGATAGGATGAGTTGATTTAGTGAAAAGGTGGGCCTATTTAATATTTTCCTAAATTTCAAGAAATTTCGAATTTATTATTATTATTATTATTATAGAACTATTTTTTAAAGTATTAATATAAATCTTTTTTTTTATTTATCTATTTGTTCAAAAAATCATTAAATTGATAAAAACTTGTAAATTCCTCCTTACTATTTTAAAGAGTATTTAAATAAACATATTTGAAACAAAAAAAATAATTAATTTTCAAAAGCATATCCATGTGGATTTAGGTGTCATATCCTATATAGAAGTTATGTCCTATTCAAATACATTATTTAAAAAGACCATTTTTAAAGCTTTTAAAATTTTATGCAAATTTTATAATGGAATAATTTAAATCAATTCAAAGTTTATAGAAGATTCTTAAAATTATGACGTATTATATGTTTGTGATTAGAGATGTCAAATTCTAAAACATTCTAAACATTATGACTTGCTAAAATGCTATTGCAAAATGATATAATATATAATTGTTCCTTGATGTGCAATATAACATATATCAACAATAAAAGTATTAATATAAAAGATGGCATATATTAATAATAAAAAAAATATGATGAATAAAAAAAATAATAATAATAATAAACATACTTGACATTTTTAATATAATTAAGTAATAATTTTTGTGAGTGTAAGTTTACTTATTCATACAAGTAAACATTGCTACCTTAACATATCAATTTAGTGCTTGAAATGTTGTTGAAATATTAATCTTTACATTGTTCATTAACTATTATAGTTTGTAAATTCTAACTTGTAAGAAATGCAATGGTTTATAGTAATGTACATAACAACTTATTGAATAAAATATACACTATTTGATTGCAATTAGAAACATGATTAGAAGCACCAAAAGTCACAAACAACAACAATGTTATGTGAGTTGTAATGTAACAAAGAATTATGAGTGACAATGAAAGATTTATTACAAGATGAAAATCTTAGATTTTAGCTTGTTAAAATCTTATAATATTTAAATTACTTGTATGCAACAGGTGGTTAAAAGTTGTAACAAAGACAAGTTGTAGCTAGAATTGTGAATAATACCTGTCAAAATTAAATAATGTTTTCATAATATTTGTCAAAAAACAACGCAACCCTAGAGTGAGTGAGTGCGTAGCAGAAGGTGTTTATCTGGCTGCCCTGACGTTGTGCTCTGTTGTGTTTGTGTTATGCCCTCCCTTTGCTCTTTCTTTCCACAAGCTTTCCATTCTTGCGTTGCGTTGCTGCTGCCGCGGCGTTGTTTGGGTTGTTTGCCCGTCTCTTGGAGGAGGAGGAGCCAGGAGACGCTTTCTGGACATGGCAGCGCAAGTTGCAGCACCGACTCCGAATTCGTAACCGCGAGATCCTCCGCGTAACGTCATGGGTGCTCCCAGTGGACAACCTGGCCCGCCTCGCAATATTCCGGTGGTGGACCGAGAGATGGCGAGATTTGCTGCAGCTCTACTGTGCTGTCATTACCTGGGTCAAGAATGCAAGCGCAAGCGATCAGGCTTCAGTCGCTCCGGAATTGTCTGCGCCATACTCTCCCATGGCGGAGTTACGAGAAACCGAGAGCGGTGCTGGTCTCGTTTTCTAATTCCTGACGCTCTTGGCTATTGTCAAACGTGCGGCAACGAGTGCAGAGGCAATGTGTCTGCCCGAAAGAGGTGGTCAGAGTGGCAGCACCCATTCATGAATGCGTAGGCCAATTTCAGCAGCGAACGACTCATTGTCGATCGGAGTTGATAGTGAGTGGTCGATGGTTGATTGATGACGGGCAAGGACAAGGGTGCAGCCGCAGGGCAGATGTGGGCGATTACAAGGCAGCCGTGTTGGATGTACAAGGCATCCGTCTCGCCCGTGTGCCAAGGCTTTCATGTGGTGTTCTGTAGGGTTCCGGACGAAGCGCTTGTAACTTGGTGCCCGGGGCACAACCTGAACGACGCAGCGGATTCTCTGATTGATGACCGAGGGCTCACCCGAGCTTGGTGTGGTGTGCCTATTACTGCAGTGCAACCTAAGAGTGTGGCTGGTTGATAGTTTTATTGGAGAGTTGACAGGAAACTATTGGGGTGAGTATGTGGTGCGACCTTGATTGTCAGTATCGGTCTAACCGCAATGAAGATTTTCCTTCAGCTAGTCCTGATCGGTTGTGGCGGGATGGATGCCGACTAAGGTCGTTAAGCGGGTTTGGCTTGATATGTCCGGCATGTTTGAGGTGAAGGAAGTGGTTCCATTGAATTAGTAGAAAGTGACTTGTTTTGTGTGACCCCGTCAACCCGCAAATGTTGCTTTGGTTTCAATTTTGCGACGTGTTAGTTTCAATTTTGCGACCTGTGTTATGGTAGTGAAGTTGATGCTGGCCCAACTTAGCAATGTCACATATGCCTCGACTTCCGTCATACTGTATATCGACGCCCAGTGCATGACTACAAGGCAGTGCCATGTTCACTGGGGGGAGTAGAGAAGCAAAAACATTGCTGTGGAAATTCTTGGAGCGAATTCTGTTGCAATATGGAGTGTCCTTGTCCGTAACACAGATCGTACTGTCCGTCGGTCATTAGTGATATGCTGTTGAAGCATGGGATGGCGTTAGAACTGTGCAGGGGATTCCGTATACTATATATAAATACAAGTGTATGAATGCTTAAAACAAGAGCCGAGTTCCTCACCATTGTAGTCTAGATGGTTAGGATACTCGGCTCTTGAGGAGCTTGGCCTAGGTCTCCGTGAAATTCGGATCCGCACTGTCAGGCCTAGATCCGATATTTTAGGAATGTCAACTTAAAGAGTTTCTCTGCATTTGGAGAGTGTTTTTAGATTTGTGCAACCATCAGTGATACAAAGTACGTATTTAGTAGAAAACTTCGTATCAAATACAAGTCATTTTCGATAAATTGGACTGAAGTTCAGTAGCTGGTGGAGCCAGAGCACCGTAGAAAGGCAGGCTTAGTGTCAGAATCTTACCTGGCGAACTTCATGGTCATAGGGCACATATCAGGACGAACGCCAGGTGCCCGAAAACTATCCGCTTGGCAAAGTCGAACCTGCATAGATCATTCCAGCAACTCACTATTAGATCCAACAACTACTTTGAAATTCAATTTACACAGGAGGGAAAGAAAAGTACGTCAATTCGCTCGAAGACCACCAGAAAAAATTAGCAGCAAACGTCCACAACATGGTACCAAAAGGCAACAGCTAGCTACCACCCCGAGCGAGGAAGACAACACCCAAATACCACCAAATAATCCCAATCAAACAGCGGGTGAGCCAGTCAAGCCACAGACATTTATTTGGCAGCCAAAAACAACCCAAAACAAGAGCCAAACAACTACAATAACACAACCGATTACAGGAGACCGAAGGTACCAAACCCCAAACCTTTACAATAGCTTCTGGTCAGCACTAGCGTCCAATAGAATCCCAGAAGCAACGACCACAAATCCAGTTAAAATACGTGTATTTTACAGAAAACGAGACGGCCTCCTAGAAACGTTGACAAAAATCCAAGGCCATTCACTAAAACAACCGGTAGCCTTCCAGCTACCACACGGTCTTGAAGAAAAGGCTTGAAAGAAGTCAGCCAGAAACCATATGACCAAAGAGACCATGCTACATATGCGAATCAAAATAGTCCTCAAACAAAAACACGGGAATCCACTCAGGATATGGGAAGATGCACACTGGCTGTATACATGGAACACAACAACTCCAAGGACCGCACTATGCATCATCACCGCCCTCCTGAAATACAACGAAGAAGTGTGCACAATACGACACTCACATGGGTTGCAATGGACAACAATCCCGGTGAACTTACAGAACTTCATCCCGAGATTTTTACCACATAATACGAAGGCGTGGGATATTGAATCGAATGAACTGTCATCCTATTAGGGATACAGCTCTACACGGTCTCCTGATGAACATACATTCCAGCACAGACCAACACCAACCACCCAAAATGATTCTGACAAAGATGGGGAGTCCGCCACCCCAGAAACGGACAAAATCAATGAATAATCCCTTAATCCTCGCGTCGCTCAACTTACCAGGATTTGGCAGAGATATGCTGGGTGTACGTAAGCGACGGGAGGTGAGGGACTTCTTCCAGGAATTCCATCCTAAGCCAGAAATCATTCTGATGCAGGAGCACAAGCTCTCTCTCGAGAAAGGAAAAAAATATCTTTTAGGAAAGGGTGGAGAATTGATCCACCTAAGCAATTTCCGCCCAATCTCCATTTTGGGATTAGTATACAAGATCATAGCCAAACTACTTGCTAAGCAAACAATATTTTTTGAAGATTGCTTTTGTCCCTAGTAGATAGAAAGATGTAGTGGAAAAACAATGATAAAGTGTAGAAAGATTGTAAAAAGTTTAGTTTTAATATTGTTTTTTATAGAAAGAAATTCTATTTATTTTGTAGAGGAATAAATGAGCCAAATCAAAGTAAATAAGATAAACAATTGATACAAACATATTAATAAGAGAGTTAATACTAGGTTAAAGCAAAACTTACTTTAAATTATCAAAAATTGATATCCAAAGAGAACTAGTTGTCAATCTAGATCAAAATCAGACCTCAAGGCACAAAACCATGCACCTCCAACAATTCTAGAATTCTTTTGCAAATTAAAGAGAGAAATTTGAGAAAAAAAACTTCATAGGATTTCTTTGAGCATTGGTTTTGAAAAGTTTGAATTTGTAATAATTTGTAAGAGATTTGCAAAGTCAAGGTTATTTTTGGTGAATTTGGTTTTGAGAAATAAAAAAAAGATTTACATTTGAAAGAAATTTATGACTTTTGTATTACGTATATGAGTGAAAATTTGTGGATTTGTGATCATAGTTGATTTTATTGCGTGTTGTAAGTTTGAATATAATCAAATAATTAGATTGAAGGATATTGAAGTTTAAGTGATTTGAAGACTTGGAAATAAGGTTTTGAAGGTCATGGAGGGTTTTTAAGATCTTTAGCAATTTGCTAATTGAATTGAGGTGAAATTCATGTATGTGGATAGTAGACTTGATTTTTAATATAAATGTGAATTTTGAGAGGTATTTAATGGTGAAATTAAGAGATTTTGGCTTAACGAGATTAGCGTTAAGATTGGAGAAGGAGGACGACCAACCCTCAAGTAGATTTTAGGATTTATCATCCATTTGAAATGTACAAACTTTTTCAAAACTTTTGTGCTTGTTGTTAACTTAGTTGTTATAAGATATACAAAGTCTAAATTGAAATCAATGATTCAATCATTTATTATTGAATTTTTAATATACTATAGGATTATTAAGAGTTTTTTTTAAGATTTAGGATTTGATTAAAGATTGATTAGGATTGGTTTAGGATCTAAGGTTTGATGAGGATTTGATTAGGATTTGAGATTTGTATAAGATTTAATTAGGACTTAGAATTTTTTTAGATTTGATTAGGATTTGAATAAGGATTGATTAGAATTTGTCTACGATTTTATTAAGATTTATTAGAGTTGCTTTAGGATTTAGAATTTCATTAGGATTTTATTAGGATTCATTAGAATTGGTCTAGGATTTAGAATTTCATTAGGATTTCATTAGGGTTTGATCTAAGATTTGATTAAGATTCATTAAGATTTTAATTAGAATTTCAATTAGGATTTGACTTAGAATTTGGTTTAAGTTCATTAGAATTTTAGTTAGGATTAAATTAAGATTTAATTAGAATTTATTTAAGATTTATTTAAGATTTCTATTTTTAATATTTCTTTAATATTTTTTATTATTTCTTTAAATTTTTTTATTTCTTATACTTCTTTAAGATTATTGTTATTTCTTTAAAGGTTTATTTTTATATTTCTTTAAGATTTTTTACTATTTTTTTTAAAAAAAATTTAAGACTTCTTTATATTTCTTCTATAAATTCTTTTAAATTTATTTTAGATTGATAAAGTTTGATTATGATTATTAAGATTCACTTTCAATTTATTTAAGTTTCTATTAGACTTGAAAAGACTGTTGTTGCATTTCTACTTACCTTCCACAACTAGGTACCTAGTACATTTTCAAGCAAGAACACACATAATATGATACTAGAGAGGTATATTTTTGACAACATTTTGATGGCTCAATTTGCAATGGATTGAGGAGAAGAGAGTGCTGTCGTGTTGTAACACGAGTATACTGTGAAAATATAAAGAAAGAGGACTTTTATTAATGTTCAGTTACCTCGAATATTGGGAGCAACGACCAATTCCAGTGCAAATACTGAGAGGCTAGGTTCAGTCACCCCGTTACAGTTAGCCGGGGCATACTGAAATGCTCCATTTGATTCCAATAACGGAAGTCAGCAAGAAGAGAAAGGACCAATTCACACGACGCGTGAGCTTGGTTCGAAGAGCCAATTGGATCCAATTTCAAGAATCCAATCCGGGTCCTCTTACCCAATATGAGACCTGAATTGGTCGGGCAACCCAATGCAGTCTAATTACGAGAAAATCCAGGTCTTACTATGGGCCTCAGCCAATCTGACGCGAAGGATCAATTTGATCCAATTACAGGAACATCCGGGTCTTACTACTGGACTCTTAGCCGATATGAGACTTGAATTGGTCGGGCGACTCAATGTGGTCTCGATTATGGGGTTTTGATTCTGTTTCAGGCTGTCCTGTTCTCTGTGCCGTTTCAAGGAATGTTGTTTTCGGTAAAAAGATCTCTTAAAGGTAAAAACGGAGGAGAAAGCTCTGACGGCGAGAGCCAATTCCAGATCCAAGACGGATGGAGCCAATTCCGGATCCAAGATGGAAGATTGAAGAAATTCAGAGGCTAGGGTTTGAAAGAGGGGAGAATTAGGGTTAAAGGGGAGGAAGATTAAGAAATGGAGGGGGGTTTTTTTTTTTTTTTTTTTCAGATCAGGGTTTTTTGGATCAAAGAGCTAGCTTCAAGTTCTTTTCAAGGTCACTAGGTTGGTTTCATTACGGTTTGTGAGGGGAGAGCAATCGCTGCTCAAAATAAGTGTTTATTTTGGTGTTTCAGATTTTATATAAAACATTGATGGTTTGCATTTTCAATCGGTTTGTGCAAGTCGTGTAGCATCTATGGATCAAAATTTGGTATTGTCTAGATAGTTGGGTGTGCTAAGTATATACAAAAATTTGTGTTAATCTAACGATGCAATCAAGAGATATCTGGGTTTTAGTACAAAGGGTTGTCGAAAGTTGGCAGTCTAGGATTGGATAGGATTTCTGTGATATCTGAAGATCTACTAGTTGGATCGACGTAATTTTTGGCTTGGTAATAGAAGATTTGGAGATCAAGCGGCTATTCAATTTTGAGCTGGAGTTAATGGTTGACAAAGGAGAAATCACTTTTGAAGTTTCTACATCAAATTTCAAGGTTGCGGCCGAGTGTCATCAGTGCGGTTTTTGGGCGTTTTCTTGCAATCTGTAAATTAGGTTGGGCTGAAAATTTTTGAGCATATAGAAGGCTTATACTGGTATTTGGGTGCAAAATTTCACACTAAGTGGACAGTTGGATCAAAAGTTACAACTTGTCAAAGCTCACTGGCTAGGGTTAGGGCTTGTTAAGAAAAACAAAAACAACTTAATTATAAAAGAAATAAAGCAATTGGAATATTGTACGGTTAAAATGACTATGAGGAGTGTTTTTAAATACTTGGAAATTGATATTTCAATTATATTCTTCATACATGGATAAAATCTATTAGGGTTTCTTTGTTATTTGCAAAAACAACTATACCTTCCACAGCTAGATACCTAGTGTATTCCCGAACAAGACAACACGTAATACGACAGCGCCCAACCACTTATCCTCCTTTTATTAGACTTTGAGAAGACTTATAACAAAATAAGCTAGAACTTCTTGAAATATACCATGTTGCATATGGAATTTTTGTAAGATTCGGTGAACTTAGTAATGTTGCTATATAATGAGGAAGCTACTACAATCATGCTAAATAAGATACTAAGGAGATACTTCTCTCTCCAACAATCAATGAAACAAATGTGCTTGCTAGCACCTTATCTCTACTTTGTAATATTTGATGTACTCAAACTTATGCTCTTTGATCCCACTAGATCACTAATCAATTTTATCCTCTCAGTCAATCACTCAACAACAAACTAAATGTATGTGGATGATTGAACCTTATACCTTAGTGCATCAAAAATTAATCTGATTACAACTTTGAATATTTTCACATTCTTGTATGAAGGCAATGGAGCCAAAATCAATTGGCAGAAGTCATATGGAATTTAGGCATACCACCAACCACATGTATGATAATGGATGAGGAACTCCAACATGATTTGGTTATCTACAAAAAATACCACATGATATCTAGGTTTTTTGATTGGCTTCAAGACTCTTGCAGAAACTATAGCAAATAAGATTATTCAGAGCCTCACTATTGGCCTAATAATATAGAGTGCATAGTATAAAATCTTTCATTGGCAAGGTATGTCATGCCAATAAATCAAATAATCTTAACCATAATCTGAATTTTATATTTATGTTTGGCATTTACAAACTTGATATTTAAAACAATATGTAGCATTATCAAAAACTTTACTTGGAGAGCTTATGCAAGCAAAACTACCAAGACAAAACTTAAATGATCTACTTTTATTCAAATAAAAAACTCAAGAAGTACTAAGATATTAGATCCTTGGCTATAAATACAATTACTCATGACTAAACTTGTAATTTGTACCTTGAAACTAAGCTATAAGTCCTAAAAAATCTTTATCCAATATTATATAAGTTGTACAAAACCAAGTAGAATAAGAAGGTGGCCACAACACCTTCATTGGATCTCAACAAGTTGTACACCAATCTATGATTCTACTCCTCTTTGAAGAGCAATCTTCTAAGCATAGTTCTCTGTGAAAGAAGGATTAGAACATGTTGCCCCGAGTCATGCTCCGAAGATCTTACGACAATTCTTATTTGATAATTCATTAATATAATAAACTTTGAGTGCTAGATTTGTCATTGAACTAACATCTACATATTTCACTTGGACAAAAAGAAGCATTT